AAAACTATGCCAGTTTGGGTTACTGCCGTGCAAATTAAATTTTTCGTGGTTCCATATGAGAAAAACTTTGAACGTACAGATTATGCTATTTGGGATATTGGGTTCTGTCTTCGACTATATTGTCTTTGTGGGTAATTTCTTTATCATTTGTCACTTTCACCTGCCGACTGGCTGCTGTCTTTTAGGTTCTGTCTTCAAAAGACAGCAGCCAGTCGGCAGGTGCAAGTGACAAATGATAAAGAAATTACCGACAAAGACAATAAAGTCGAAGTTGGCTACTGCTGAGCCAGCCATACACAAATTCCTTCTACATACCCGACTTTCGAACCTGCGACCTAGAGGCTAGAAATCAAAAATGTGAACACTGCGCAATTTGTTCGTTGACTTACCGATCTCATGATTCGGGTGTCATAATAATTGGGATTGGGTATTGTTGTCTGATGACCTCCAATAAGCCGAAAATGGCCCGCAGCCGACATGGGCATATCTTACCTATAATAGATAGACGACAAACAAAAGCTAAGCGTCTTCTGTTGTCGCTTTTGAATGACGATGACGCTTCGCAATCAGTTTCCAGCTTCCTCGATCCAGCTCAGACATCTACAACGCTCCATATATTTATCAAAATCGTTAAGATGGACAAAAATTTTAATCTCCGTGTCGGCCAAATCCATACACGCGGACGATGCGTTGGCCTCAGCTGTTTACGTTCGCCCTCCAAACTGACAACGTCTAACTCCACCTTAGTTAAATGAAATGACAGTTTTTCCAGACTCAACGTATTCTTACTACCAAACGGTAACACGTATAATGTATAACTTTTATATTTCATGTTTGCTAGTATTGCACCTTTGAAGTCAGGTTTCTTCACTTGAAACAGACTTCTTTTTTCGCACACTATTGACCCAGCATAAGACCAAAACAAAACCAATAGTGCCTGCAAAAGTAGGGCCTTGGTTTAGGTTTTTCGTGCCTTCCGTGCTTTTGACGGCACCGAAGTAGTGCTTTACAAATAAACTTTATCATAAGAAGCAAATCTATGTAGCTGACGCCCAACATTGCTTGGTCTGGCATCATTGTTCAAGTCCAGCTGCCTCAAGATTATCCATGACCTTAGTCAGTGCTATCAGACATGCAGAGACTTGAACGACTTCCACTCGGACACATACGTGTACGCCTAGGTAGTTGCGGCTGCCCAAGTGCCACTTGAGCATGTCTTTTTCCCCCACCCTCGGCCGAAACTGTCTATATCACCGGACAAGACAACCGTCGGGTAATGTCAGACGCACCGATTGGAGAATGTTATGA